TCCCCATTCAGGCCGTACTTTAAAGTGCTTTTTGCTTTTTTTGCAGAGAATCGGAACAGCTCTGCGCCAACCCGCCCGGCACTGACTTTGACAGCCTGCTGAAGCACTTTCAGGCAGTACAGAAACGTCATAGCGCATGCTGTCTTAGCTTATATCAGGTAACGGATTCCGATGTCAGCGCTATGCGCGCATTTTCGCCGAGAGCTGATGTTGCCTACCCTCCGCTTGCCGGCTCCAACGACTCGGGGGGCATTCAAAACGACAGCAAGAGGATTCAATTTTCTCTTCTTCCCCAGGGCTCCCAAGCCAATTCCAATTCTACAGCCTTTCTTATTCAGGTATTTTTAAAAAGAAATGCAAAACGCATCCTCCCTCCCCCATATTTCCCGCTGCATGGGCCTCTTTTCGCCTTCATCCTCCTTGGATTTTCACTAATAGCAGTATACACACAAAACTACAGTACGCGCCAGAACATGCCGACATATGCGAAAGATTGATACGCTTTCGCTAATCGGCATTGACTCAGGTTGTGATACTGATTATCGTGTAGTCTCGCAGTTATTTCAGTCATTTTGGCATGCGGGCTTTTTAGCGAGCTTCTTTCTGACCACTAACAGAGCGTATGTATCGTAAAAAGTAACTACTTAAATAGTGTGCGTTTTTATCATTCATTTTGACTGCCTTTATTAATTCAAATATATTTTATGGAATACATGCACAGAAAAGTTGTTTCTTGTACTCGTTTGGTAGCAAATTACGCCTTCTTTAAATTTTATACTTAAAGCAAGGGTATCTTTCGGTTTTAAATTTTTTTCTAAATGGCCGAATAATTTTGAAACCTACTGACTGCTACACTCGAATTCAAGGTTTACAAGCTGCGCACTATGTGCATCCTGTTTAAGGAAAACTACGTTTTCGTCTGCAGTTTGCGGTAGAAGTCACATAGTTCTCGTAAAATATTGCAATAGCTGTGGAACGTGCTTTATACAGTACAGACAGCATTACTAAATTGACGGATACGATGTATTATGAATAAACACCTCACAATCGTAAAAAGCTCATAATCAGAGTTTTTGAAAACCGAAAGATACCCAGTTTTTAAGTATAAAATTTAAAGATGGCGTAATGTTTTAGCAAAAGCGTACGAGAAATAATTTTTTGTGCATATTTTCCGTAAAATATAGTTGAATTTATAGAGGCAGGCCAAAACAAAGATAAAACGCATACTATTTAAATGGTTACTTTTACAGTACAAACGTTTTGTTAGTGGTCAGAAATAAGCTCGTTAAAAGGCCGACATCCTATAATGACTGAAATAACTTCAAAATAGCCTATACGGTAATCGTTATCACAACCTGAGTGAATGTCGATTAGCGAAAGAGTGTCAACCTTTCGCATATTTCGGCATGTTGCATGAATTCTGACGCTTACTTTGCCTTAATAAGTAAGGGGACATTTGGAGAATTTTTTTCTACACATTGGCTTATTGTGCCTACTTATTTAGTTCGCTTTTTCCACCGAGATATGCACTATGCGTGGTAACTCTTGTAGCACGGACCAAAAGTTGTAGATGGGTTGCCAAATGGAAAGAATGACGGGAGTTAGGGTACAAAACTGATTAGCGGGAAGTGGACTATCAGGCATTTTCCCTCACAGGGGTGTGCTGCGTTTTGAAGGACAGTTTTTTGAATCACCGGTGTGTATGAGCCCTCAATAGCGTACACCATGATTTCTGTTTATGCTCAACCCTGTTAGGCAGCATCCGGGCAAGCGGTTAAGTTCGTACACTAATTTGTTGTTAAAGCATGCTTTTTTCTTTTTTGAGCGAAGTAAATCTTTCGGCTCCAAATAGGTTTACGGTAGGACATGGGAATAGGAATTGACCGTAATACATGCGGCTTTGCCTTAAAGTCCGGTAGTACTAAGTAAAGGATTACCTTAAAGGCTAAAGGCACTCTTCGGGTTCATATTAGAGCTAAGGTTTGGGTTAGTTAGATAAATATAACCGACAAAGACAAAGGAGACCAGAATGGCCATTTCTGGCTCATTAGCCGCCACCAGTCAGCCATACCCAACCCTAGGTAGTGCACTGTCCGAGGGTGGATGCCACGATCTGGTGATTAGAAGTCCAACGCTCTAATCTACTGCGCCACAGGTTCGTTATTTCGCCGGTATAGGTCGGAAGTATTGAGACTGATTGACGAAAGCTCACTGGTCGGTGACTGGTCTCATTCATGTCACCTAGCTATAGTATCTGCCATTTTGCGGCTGTTGGCGGGGCTCCAGAGGAAGCCACAAAGCGGAACGCGACGCGTGCATCCTGTAACCGATCAGTGGGCCTTCATCCACTAGTCTTTGGGTTAGTTTTAGGCCTAGGACATGGGACTATTTACTCTCGTTGGAATTTGTCGCAAGGCCACCCGTATTACGAGGAAGAGGGGGGGGGTTGGGGAGGGGCAGAGGGTTGCCGATTCACGTGGTCTTCGGGCACAGTTTACTACACGAGTCGGCTTTTAACTTATTCATGAGGATTGTAAACTGCACGTTTAATGCGTCCTCCAGCATACCGAACCACATCGCTGCGTCATTGTGATGGCGCCTTATAGAACATGAAAGAGACCGTGGATCATTTTGTACACTTTGTGAAAAAAACAGTTGCCTCGTGACTATGCCAACGTCTCGACCAGGGCCATGTAGTACATATTGCATGTATGAATTGGCAGGATAGTCTGTGTAATTTGGAATTAAGTCGTTCCGTAATTCGAATGCAAACATGCATGTGATCAACTACTGCCAATTGAATTTATAAGTGGTCATCTTAAGCATTGAAGCAGCGCTCCGAACCCACCCGTTTCAGCTCAGTACTACCTCGGTTCCCAGAGTAAGTTGGGTATCCGGCTGATAGCATAAAGAAGAGTAAGGCGTTCAATCTTGCTCAGGCATTCGCCTTTAGGAAAAAACCGATGGACGGAAGCATCCAAAGTGTTCCCTCTGACTTGAGCACTTGACTGCTGGTAGGCGCATTGATTTACCTGGGAAGAGCAACGGGTAACCTGAAGGCGATTTCTTCGATCTACCACACAACCTCAAAGTGGTTCTTTAATTCGGTACTTATTGAAGGCGATATTTATGGTATGATACTCACTTGGTTGTTTTAGGTGATGAAAGCTAGTCAAACAATTTTTATTCATTTAAAAAATGCAATCTTAATACTGTTAAGCTATTCCGTTTGTGCAACGAAGGCGGTGTGATTTACGCTCAAACTGATTCCTGATCCGTTAATTGTGCAACCCATGACGTTCTGACGGTCTAACACCGACTGTTTGTTTCAACCTGCTTACTAATGGCGCGTCCTGCCACATGCTGTTTTTACTTTTTTTAACTTTTTACTGCGGTGCTTGCATATTCACAAAAGTATCTCCTCTTGTCCTTCTGTCTAGGCGTTGGAAAAATTGGGTATCAATGTGTCTCCGCCAAGCTCTCAACCTGGTTAACATTGCCTCACCTCTGTTTACGTGACTAGGATGGCTTCGCCTCTTCAGCCTTCAGTCTTTCCCATCCTGGATTCCACTCTCTGTTTTTTTGTTGGTTTTTCTCTCCGTGTATTTAGCTCATTATCCTGTCCGACACCAATTATGCTACTTCCACTTTGCGTAATTTTACGCTACTTACTAAATAACATAATGATGCTGACCCCCCCCTCCTTATATTGTTTTGAACAATAAGCCAACAGTTGTTTTTTAGGGCACAATTTTTTGATCATGCATCTGTGCTTATCAATGACATGCATATGCACATATATGTTTCCAGGGTCCTTATTATTCAGCATCACTAGCTACCTGAAATAACAACTGGAATGGTCTTCCATGAGTCTTAACTCGCGCAGTCGTTCGAACTAATATTCATTCTGAGTCCTGATCCAAACACCACTGATGCATATATCTACTAATGCAGGCAGTCTGTCAACGGTAAGCTATAGCCGCATGAACTTGGTAACCGCTCTGTTAATATGCTGGACGCTTTTGTCTTTGATGGTCTAACAAGGAAAACCCTGGTACTGTCATAACAGGCAGGAGTAAATAGGAAGTCTGCCTCTTTGAATCAAGTTTACTGTATGGAAAACCTTCATTGAAGGTATCATTTGTCATAATTTGGCCAGTCTAACTGATCTCCTAGCCGGTGCCCCTTTTGGTGTGTCAGCGTTCCTGTGTCTTGACCAACTGTGTTGGGTCGGGTTTTAAGCTGCCAAGAGCACCGGATGCATAAGTCAGGTGGCCTAGGCCGTCCTCCTCACGATGTCACGGCGTCTAGACTATCTTAGTTGAGCTGGGTTTTGGTTAATCCACTCAGAACCCGGAGTCGTAAACCTGTTTTTTATATTCCTGATCCAAAGATCATGATCACATGCCCTGTATGCCCTGGATGTCGTTAATATCGGCGTAATGCGAGAGGCCAAAAATCACCATGGGCATAGAGAAATCTTGATTTGGGCGTGGATGTGGTTCCCACCCTCCTTACTTGTACTTGTTACGGCTGCGATCATGACTGATCTAGCTGGCCTCAGTTATGTCCCGTACGGTGCTTCTCCACGCGCGACGATCCGTAGCCGCAGACCT